ACACAGGTATGTTAACTAAGGCAGTGGCATTAACACTGAGAATTTACATTGAACAGCTGTCTTCCACTTAGACATGGCAGTGGTTAGATCATAGTGGATGTCCAAAATTCAAATCATGTACTTTCTAACTAATACACAGTTTTTAGTCATTTAAGGAGGACAATTATTTAACTCTCTGTATATGTTACACTCCAACTATTCACAAGTTTAGAAACATACTAATAAAGATGTTAATGTCACTATTCTAATTTTTGTGGTAAAAGGTTCTTCATTGAATAGAAATAATTCTTCCACCAGTGATAGACCCCTAAGTTGGGGGAGGGAAAGAGATCCTTGACTTTCACAAAATTGACTTTGTTGACAAAGTTTTCCCTGAAGCCCTTTCTTTTAAGGATGCACAATGCCAGTGAGCATCGGGTAATCAGAACCAATATATAATCCCTTAAAAATCCCTTAAAAATGTGTCTTCTTTATGGTAGGTCTCAAATCATTATTAAATATATTTAAGGGGCATCTGGGTGGCTCAGTTGGTTGGGCATCTGCCTTCGGCTCAGGTCATGATCTTGGGGTCTAGGGATCAAGCCCCACATCAGGCTCTCTGCTTAGCGTGGTCTGCTTCTCCCGTCCCCTCTGCCACTCTCCCCTACTTGTGCTCGTGCTCTCTCTCTCAAATAAATAGATAATATTAAAAAAAATACTTGGGGCACCTGGGTGGCTCAGTGGTTGAGCATCTGCCTTTGGCTCAGGTTGTGATCCTGGCCAGGGTCCGAGAATGGAGTCCCACATCAGGCTCCTCATAGGGATCCTGCTTCTCCCTCTGCCTATGTCTCTGCCTCTCTCTCTAGGTCTCTCATGAATAAATAAATAAAATCTCTAAAAATAAATAAATAAATAAAATTACTTAAAAATAATTTAGGCTTTTAATAGATGCCTGCCCTTAATTCTGGAAACAGTAATACTTATCCAATTGCTGTATTATCTGTTACTAATGTCATTCTACAATGAATTAATAGTCTTATTTATTCATCAGCTTGGTTTGAGAAATATTTATATGAAGAAGAACTAAACTCATAAGGGGGGCATGAGGAAAAACTTGAAAATATTTTTAAGAAAACATGCCAACAATCTTCGTTAGATTATGTTTTACATCACCAATAAATGACTTTTCTATGTCTCTCTGAAAAACTATCTAAAAATCAGCAACCCTAATGTGTTATGTTCTTCGTATACCCTCAATTTCTTGGAAAGGCATTATTGCAGTCTTTCAATTAATACTGAGACATGCAAGTAGTTATGATCTCCTATCATTTTATTCTCATTGTCAAAGAGAGGCCACAGAGATGGGAGGTACATATAGGCTGGTCTTTTGCCCGGAACAAATGCAAACTGGACACTATAATAGAGTAGTGCCCAGGAAGGGTTAAAGTCCAGATGCGGTTATTGTGGAGAAACAAATTTAGTAAGAGACAACTGTTGCCCTATAGATGAGTAAAACAAATCATATTTGGTAATCTTTTTAGCACTCTACAGATTTCTCTACCATGGAAAACAAATGCATATCATCTTTGCCATAAAACACATAGTAGGGCAGCCCCGGTGGCTCAACAGTTTAGCATTGCCTTCAGTCCAGGGCGTGGTCCTGGAGACCTGGGATGGAGTCCCACATTAGGCTTCCTGCTTGGAGGCCTGCTTCTCCCTCTGCCTGTGTCTCTGCCCCGCCCCCCCCCCCGTATGTCTCATAAATAAATAATCTTTAAAAAACAACACATAGTAGTCTTTTTTTCTTTTTGGTCAAAAAATACCAAGTGTAAGAATGATGGGATCATAGCAATCGCAGGGCTAACAATCTTACAAAGCCTTCCCATTACACTTAGAATAAAATTTAAACTTCTTGTTGGGGCCGAAGACTTTAGAGGATCTCTCCCCTCACCTCCACCCAAATTAATGTCTTATCACTTCCACTTGTTAACTCTGCACCGGTCATAGAACTGGCTAGCTGCCTATTACCTGCATGTTTAACTCATAATCAGGGCCTTTATACTTGCTGGCCTCTTCTTAACACTAGTGTCCCAGCTCAATGACTCCTTCTCAGGTCATTTATGTAAAATACTTCCACACCCTTCTTAGCTATCCTCTAGCTCATTAAGCTGCTTTATTTTCTGTATAGCACTTAACCCTTATCTGAAAGTACAGCCTTTATTTTTGTCTACTTATTTATTTTTCTCTTTTCCTCAAAGATAGAAACTTCAGGAAAAGTTGGGACGGTCTCTCTTATTAACTGTGGGTTCCTAGCAAGCACAGCAAAAGTGCTGACACACATTACATGTCAATAAATATTTGTTGAATGATGCATCAATAAAAACCACCACAGTGGAGAAAAGAAGTATGAATATTCTGTTCATGCTTAGTTTTGATTACCTTTTGAGTTCTTTGCACTTTAGGTTTTGTTCTGGTCATTTATCACTTCACAGCAAACTACCCCAAAACTTACTACCTTAAAAGAAGAATAATTTTATTATGCTTACACTACTGTCAGAATTTAGGCAAACCTTGATTTTTTGGTGACTTTTCTGCTCTAAGAGTGTTGACTGGGGTCATTTAGTAGAATAGTAGAATTTCACCAGCAGCTGGTATGGTGGGTTTAAGATGTTTCACTGGCAAGCCTGGCAGCTTGGGTTCAGCTGGCCCCTTCTCTTGCTTCCCATGGCAGCTCAGGGGGTCCAATAGAGCGAGGTAGGAACCTGTTAGTCCTCTTAAAGTTTACGTCTGGAACTGTCAAATCAGACACACTAGCTCAGATGAGAGGAGGAGTATCAAAGCATACGCAGTGTTTTTAATCTGGTACATTTCTGAGATAGAATATTTCCAAGTAAATGTTCCTAAAGAAAACAATCCAATAAGTCTCACTGGAACTTACAGGCTTCTGACTTAAGTCTCACCTATATTCAAGGAAGTCTTCAAATCCTGAAAGAGAAATACGAAAGTTAAAAGTAATATAAAAGATGGAAAATGTTGAATATGCATCTTATTTACTTATTCACAACACAACAAATATTTTACATTGGTTTAGATCCTCTGAGATTATGAGCAAAAATTTCTGTGATGTGTCTGCAGTGTACATTTTTCTGGAGAATAGGTTCATAGTTTCTACTGATTTTTCAAAGGATCTAATGATCCCCACCTCCCCCATTAGGTATTTCCTTAAGAAAAATCATGGAGTGCATAACTTCATTTTTAGAACTATCCACCCAGCCTTGCATAATAATGATAAATAGTAGACTTAAAAAAAGTAGTATCTTATGTGCCAGCAACAACATCCTATAGCAGCCCTATGAGGTACTATTATTATCCTGATTTTAAGGATGAAGAAACTGAGGCTTAGTAACTTGCCCATGGTCACTCAATTAGCATGTTGTAGAGCTGGGATCCCCTACCATACTGGCTGCAGGAGGTCTGATGCAATGAGGCCCTCTTCGTGAGTGATACTTTACTCCTGTGTAAATTGGGGATAATAATAGTAGCCAGGGTCACTGCCAGTATTACATGAGCTGAACTAGGATAGTCCATAACTGCACGCCTGGCACATATTAAATTTGGTATTTAATAAATACAAGCTCTGCACGCTTTGCCTCTGTTGTATTCCAGAAGCCTTTACTATCTTTCATTGAAGAGCTATTGGTGTGATAAAAATGCAAGACCTAAAAAGCGGAGGTGATGTAGGTGATGAGCGAACATCTCAAAGTTTCGGACCAAAGCCAGAGACAGCACTTTTCCCCCACTAAACTCCGTAGGGTCTCCCGTTTTCTCTTAAAATTGTACGCAGGTGTATCATTCTCTTCCACAGCTCGTAGCTTATCTATTAACATGGAACCTGTTTACCCCAAACTTTTGGGATCATTGTTTTTCTTATCGTGATACACCTTGCTTATGACTTGACTTCACCCACCCCACTGCTCTGAGGAACTTAGTGCAGGTGTGGGAATGGAGAAGCCCAGACTCCCTGCCTGGACCCCTTAGCTTGTTGGGGCCTCCCATTCTTCACTTATAAAACGGAGTGGGTGTTGATGATGAGATGATTTCACCAAAGTCTTTCCTGGTCTGCAATTACACAACATAAAATTGTCTTTTAGCTTGGTTTTCTTTTCTTTTTTTATTTATTTATGATAGGCACACAGTGAGAGAGAGAGAGGCAGAGACACAGGCAGAGGGAGAAGCAGGCTCCATGCACCGGGAGCCCGACGTGGGACTCGATCCCGGGTCTCCAGGATCGCGCCCTGGGCCAAAGGCAGGCGCCAAACCGCTGGTTTTCAAACTGTGGCTCTCCACTTAGTAGGCAAAAACAAAACAAAACAAAACAAAACAACATTTCGGTGGGTCAAACATTAAAAAAAAAAAAAAAAAAAAAAAAAAAAGCCTGGGTGGCTCAGTGGTTGTGCGTCTGTCTGCCTTTGGCTCAGGGCGTGACCCTGGAGACGGAGGATCGAGTCCCACATCAGGCCCCTTGCATGGAGCCTGCTTCTCCCTCTGCCTCTCTCATTAATTAAAAAAAAAAAAATGAGGGTAACTCCTCTTTGGAGAAACTCTTGTTAAACAAGAGATATTTAAATATAATGTGCGGAGAAAAAAAAAGAAACGTAGTACGTCGAGACCTCCACGTGAAGCGCGTATTTCCACCGCGGGGGGGGGGTCAAAACACTTGCAAGTGGGGCGCAGGGCAAGGCACCCTCCGCACGTGTCGCGCGGGGAAACGCGCTCCGCCCGCCCTCGGGGCTCAACCTCGAGCGCCCCCGGCAAAAGCCCCCAACGCAAACGTGCGCGCGGGCCCCGCTCCCGCGGCTCCTCGCGATGGCAGCGGCCTGCGGGGCCTGCGGGGCGTCACCTGGGCCGACGTCGCACCTCCCGCCTCCCGCCTCCCGCCTCCCGCCCGGGCTGGAGCGGAGCTGCGCGCCTTCTGACGTCATCACCGGGCGCCGAGAACACCCCCCCCCCCGCCCCGCGCCTCTTTCCACTTCGCGGGAGAAGTTGTTGGCGCGAATGGATCCCGAGTCCCGGTAACGGATTCCCCAGCCGACAGGCCCGCCGGCTCGCGCCTTAGTCCGTGGGCTGCGATGGTGAGCCCCGGGGGGAGGCTGTGCGGCTCGGGGGCTCGGGGAGTTGGCAGGCCGGGTGTGGACCGGGCGGTTTTGGTACGGAGGGTGGGGGAGGATGGCGGTGCGGGGCTGCGGAGGGAGCGAGGGCACGGAGGGGCCGCAGAGGGGGCCACAGAGGGGGCGCTGGGCGCAAGCTTTCCGGGGGCCGCGGGGTTACAGCGCTGGGCGCCAGGCTGCGCGCAGGGCTTGTGGTGCTGCGCAGCACTTTCATTTTTTTTTCTTCATTCTTGGGGGAAGGGAGGAAGGAAGGGAGTAAAAGAGGTGATTTGGGGGCTCAGCGATAAAGTTGTTTTCCTGTTTGGCGTTGCCCCAAACCTCTGTGTGCGTCCTGCCCTAAAGCATTGATTTCAAGCTTTGGTTCAAAGCGGAGAAAAACGTAACAAACTTTTCCTTTCTTAGGAGTAAGTTGTCTTAGGCCTTCAACTTTCGTCATTAATAGCGCCATGAAAAGCTCATCACACAGCCGTTTCGAGACCGAAGGTGTAGGGAGGATGCTTTATTTTTTTTTTAAAGAAGTTCAAAGAAGTTAATGGGATAACACGGCTTACTAGGAAAAAAAAAACCAAAAAAAAAAAAAAAAAACCCCAAACCCCGCAGATGTAATATGTTTGACAGCTGTCATCGCTTATCACCTGGTGTTAAAAATAATCTTAAAAAGAAACCCCCACCTCTGTGTGACTCTGCATAAAGCATGTAAATTGAGAGAGAAATGATGATGCAGCCATCAAAACAGACCTTCATAGATAGAGAGGCCTGTGTTTGAAATACTGTATTTGAAGGACAATTCATGATGTCCTGTGAAGCTAGAATCTACTTCGTAATCAGACATAATTTTTTTCAACTATTTTGTAGCTTATTTGTCACAAGGCCAGCATTCTGGAGGGAAAATTTTTATGCCAAATTGGGAAGCCTTGCAGCCCTTTGTGTTTTTTTTTTCCTCAAAGGATGACATACTAGCCACTTCGTATCAAATGCCAGTATGGGAGCTATTGGTTTTATAAACCTTTTCTCATTTAAACCTCACGGGAGTCTAGTTGTACAGGTGGTAAAGGAGGCTTTTAGAGTTTAAACAGTTTGTCATACAACTAATAAATGGTTGGATTAGAATTCTGACCACTGTATTATCCTGCCTCCCTAAAATGATTATCAATATTACTTTTTGGACTTAAGGCACTATGGTATTGTGGAAAGTTGATGGGATTTGGAGACTGGAAGGTAAGAGTGAGGTGATGATTTAGTCTTGCTCTACCATTTACTAGTTATGTGATTGTGGGCTTTATTTAAGTAAATAGCTTAACTTAAACCTTTTTAAAGCCTGTGTTTTCCTTAACTGTTAAAAGGGGCAAAATATAGCTGCCTTAAGTGATTATCTTGAGGATTAAACAGAATAACAAAGCTAAAGCTTCTATTGTGGAACCCGGTATGTGGAGGTATTCTGCTATTATGTGACTACCAGTGATCTAATTTTCTTAGGAAGGACTCTGGAATGTTACACTGTTGAAGGGGCATCAAAGATGCCTCTGCTGTCAGTTTTGGCGAACAGTGTCTTGTATAGTCAACTTTTGATCATTCAGATACTTTAAATTTTGGTTCTTAGTACTCTTGTTCACAATACAGGTGAAAAATAAAGCCCTTCTTGGAAAAGAAGTTGGAGTCAGAAGGAGTTTTGCTGTTTGTTAAAGGGGAAAGGTTTTATAACATAGATAGGAATTTTTGGTTATATTGGTATTTAAGTTGGTCCTTCTATCTCTAGCAAAACCTCAGACTAAAATTCTGTTTAGCATAGGTTTATTGAACATCTGTGTACATGTTATTGTAGAACAGTAGTTCTTTGGGTTACAGTTATGTGATAATGTGATGAGTGGCATGCAAATTTTCTGCCCACAGAAATACATATGAGCATATTACAGCATTTAAGAGGATTTGCAAATCTTCTGAGCCCTTCCGTAGATGTTAACGACTTTTGCCTTGGGAGCTACATTTTTTTTTCTTTAAGTTATTAATAAAGGAATAAAATACTGTATCCACAAAATGGAATATTCTGTGAGCATTAAGAAAGAAAACTTTATACTCTGATATAAAAACAATTATCAGGATAATTCAGTGAAAAATGAAGGTGTAGGACAGTAAGTAATGTATGTGTCACTTTGTGTAGAGAAAGAGAAAATATATACACATTTGCTTGAAGACTGGAAGGTTACACAGGGAACTAACTGATAGCATTTGTTGCCTCCAAAGGTGGGAAATATGTGTCTTGAGAGGCGGGATGGGAGGGAGACTTTTTACTCTTGAATTTTGAACAATGTAAACATAATGTCTATTAAAGGAATTGTAACAAAATTAAAAATGAAAAGAGAAAAGCCATGTAAACAATTTGGATTGCTATGAGAATTTAATTATTTACTCAAAATGTGAATAAAACCTGAGCTGCCATTTTAAAGAAGTCAGCATATATAATTCATTGGCTGGTATAATTCATTGAAAATATGCATAAGATTGAATTAAACACACATGAGACCTAGAGGATAGCCTGTTTGAAGAAGCTGTCAAATCTAAATACATTTGAGCTTCTTCATCCCCTATTCTAGGGGATACCTTTCATATTGTAGTTTACTATGTGAGTGCTCTCACTGGAGTGTGCTGTCACTATTATAATGTAGATTTTGCCATATATACTGGTAGTTGCCCTGTAAGGCCCCTCCCTGCCTCTCTTATCTGTCTTTTGAGTATCTTATGCTGTTCTGTCCCATCTTTTTTTTCTTGCTGTTTCTTCTCCTTGTTGAGATTCTTCCTTGTATATCTGCCTTTTTCTCATGATTCAAGCCTCAGTCATCACTTCCTCAGAGCTTTTGGTGTTATATCTAAGAAACCATTGCCTAATCCAAGGTCATGAAGATTTATGCGTGTCTTCTAAGAGTTTTACTTCTTACATTTAATTTTGAAACATTTTGAGTTGATTTTTGTATGGGATGTGAAGTAGAAGTTCAAATTTATTCTTTTGCATGTGTATGTTCAATTGTTCTGGCACCAGTTGTAGACTGTTCTTTCTCATTGAATTATCTTGTCTCCCTTGTCAAAGATCAATTGACTGTAAGTGTGAGGGTTCTTTTCTGGATTCTCTGTTCTATTACCCCTATGTATCTATCTTAATGCCAGTAATGCATTGTATTTATTACTGTAGTTTTGTGGTAAGTTCCCCACCCCACCTTGTGGTAAGTCCCCCCGCCCCCCCCGGGGTAAGTTTTGAAATCAGGAAGTATTATTAGTCTTTCAACTTTGTTATTTTTCAAGATTGTTTTGTGTTCTGGTCGGGGGCTGTTGATTCCATGAATTTTACAATTGTTAAAGAAGCCAGCTGGGATTTTATTAGTGATTATGTTGAATCCTGTAGATCATTTTGGGAAATATTGCCATCTCAACAGTAGAAGGTCTTCTGATCTATGAACATGGACTATCTTTCCATTTGTTTAGCTCTTCAATTTCTTTAAACAGTGTTTTATAGTTTTCAGGGTATGGGCTTTACACTTTTATTTTTTCCAAGTACTTTTTTCTTTTTGATGATATTGTAAATGAAATAGTTTTCTTTTCTTTCTTTCTTTTTTTTTTTTTTTTTTAAGATTTTATTTATTTACTCAGAGACAAAGAGAGGCAGAGACATAGGTAGAGGGAGAAATAGGCTCCCTGCAGGAAGCCCAATTTAAGACTCAATCCTGGGACTTCGGGATCATGCTCTGAGCCAAAGGCAAGATGCTCAACCACTGAATCACCTAGGTGTCCCTGAAATAGTTTTCTTAATTTCAGTTTTGGATTGTTCATTCCAAGAGTATAGAAATACAATATACTTTTGTATATTGATCTTGTATTCTGCAACATTGCTGACCTCATTTAGTAGTTCTAATAGTTTTTTCTGTAGGAATTTTTTCTATGTAAGATCATTTCATCTGTAAATAGAGATAGTTTTGCTTCATCCTGTCTAATCTAGGTGCCTTTTATCTCTCTCTCTCTCTCTTTTTTTTTTTTTTTTTTTTTTGCCTAAATGCTTTTGCTGGAACTTCCACAGGATTGAATAGAAGTATTGGGAGTGATTGTGTCTTTTTCCTGATCTCAGGGGAAAGCATTCCAACAACTTTTTGCTTTCAAAGGCCTTAATGTAGTTTTAAATACTTTAAGTTTATTTCATAATTTGTTTCTATTGTGCTGCTACCAGTTAAATCACTGGGTATATTAGATATAAAATTTTGTCTTTCAGTGTTTTTCAGGATGAAAGATTCTTACATTTGGATAGAGCTTGTGAATTTGATGATGGTAATCAGTTTCTGTTTGTGGATTTGGTGGGGTTAATCAAATATTTATATTTCTTTGTTACTTTTAGAGTAGAGAAGTAAAGCCAAGATACAATATTTGGCAATTACTCTACAGAGCACTGTAGTACTTATTTGTATAAAACCCTGTACCCTTCAAAGAAAAGTGAACAGAGTGACATAATTTACTTTCTTTTTGCATTTTTGATAGACAAATATGACTTGTTTATTGGTTGAGCTCATCAGCAGTGGAAATAAGTAATTAGAGTTTTTTGGTTATACGTCAAAGTAAATATATAGCAGCTTTTGTACTTTGACCTTTGAAAGCTAACGGTCATTATGAAAGCTAACTTTGTGGGTTTAGGAGTGTTTATTGCAAGAAGAATTTTTTCTTCATCTCTAACTCTACTAATAGATTTATAATCAACCAAATTGGAAACTGCTTGGTACAGGTAAAGGGCTAAACACACAGGATTTTTTTTTTTTTTTGGCAAAGTTGGGTACTTTGTCTTGACTTCTGCATATTAAAATTGCATTTGGCTGCTTGCTAGAAGATGCTTCTAATAGAGTTGTAGAATTGTTTGTTACACCTTAAAGTAGAAAATGCAAGAAACCTTTTTTTGCTTACATTTAAGCATCTTGAATTTCAAAACTTTTACT